GTTCTGAACGTATCCGTGCTCTGGCAATGGAGGGCCACTGGGCCTTTGGATACCATTTAAATCAACGCCGCTTCCCCGCACCCAAAACATGAGAAGCGCAGTCCGATCGTACCACGGCCATCATCAGCAACCACAAGGCCGCGCGCGGCCAAAAACGGGGGCAAGATAATGTCCCGCCTGTTCTGTTAGATCAGACCTTCACAAACTTGACCCCAAACGCTCGAGCAAGAGATCCCGTGGGCAGAAATCACGCATCTTGCGGAGGAAACGCGCTAGCAGGGAGAAGGAGACCAGAAGGAGAGGGAGAAGGGCGGGAATTTAGGACGGCCCTGCCACATCAAAGAAATGCCACGCCTTCCGCAACCTGCGACCCTGGCACGCATAGCGTCTCCACTCCCTGTGCACCCCCTCCAGCGTCGAAAAAGTGCGCCGCATGCCACGTTTTGCGACCCTGAGACAGATAGCGCCCCCAACCTCCGCGGACACCCTCTAGCACCCGTAAAATGCCACGTCTGCCACGCCTTGCGACCCTGAGACGCATAGCGCCCCCGCCCCTTACGGACACGTGTGTCGTCGAGAACGTGCTACGCGTGCCGCGTCTTCCGCACTGAGACGGTTAGCGCACCAATCCCCTGCGCAACCCCCTCCAGCGTCGAGAAAGTGCGCCGCCTGCCACGTTCTGCGACCCTGAGACAGATAGCGTCCCCACCCCCCGCGGACCTCATCTGGCGTCCATAGAACCATAGGATGCCACGCCTGCCACGCTTTGTGACCCTGAAACGGATAGCGCCCCCAGCCCCTGCGAACCCCCGCCTGGCATCCATAAAGTGCCACCCCTGCCACGTGTTGCGACCCGCCACGTGCGCCACGTGTATACTTGTCTCGTTCACGTGCCCCCTCTCTCTCACCTGCGTGTGGTGTGTATCTGTGCGGTGTGTATGCGTCTTTGCGTGCTGGTGCGACTGCATGCGTGTTTGTATATGATGCACGCTCGATTGTAGGTTAAACACATGGAAGAGATGGAGGTGAGAGGGAACGCAAGTGGGACGCTGGTGGGAAGAAAACCAGAGCCCAACTAAGCATGTGGCCATATACCTAGCTAGATGTATAGAAAGACAAAGAGAGAGAGAGAGAGAGATAGGGACAGAGATGGGAGCAGAGCGAGAGAGGGGATTCGTATGTGTATATGTATGTGTATGTATATATATATATATATATATATATATACATAGAACTACATCTATAGAGAGAGAGAGAAGAGAGAAACAGAGAGAGAGAGAGAGAGAAAAAACAAAAACAAATATAATCGAACTCAAAGAACGATCACACACTCGCCGCCGACACCCCCCTCCCTCAGTGTCGAATATCTACGCAAGTCATCCAACTTCGCGCCTGGCGCCGCGCGGTGCGCGGCACGAACGAGCGGGGGCCACGAAGGGCATACATATATGGGGCCAGGAAAAGGCGACAGCGGGGCCACTAAGCGCAGAATGTGGGCCACGAAAGGCACCGAGGGGGCCACAGAGGGCGACAGCGGGGCGACGAAGGGCATGCAGATGGGGCCACGAAAGGCGCGAGCGAGCGGATGCCACGAAGGGCATCTTTATAATCCGGGGCCACTGAGGGCAGCGACGGGGCCGCTGAGGGCAGCACCTGGGCCACGAAGGGCAGCGAGGGGGCCACAAACGGCGACAGCGGGGCCACAAAGGGCATGCATCTGGGGCCACGACGGGCGCGAGCGAACGGGGACCACGTAGGGCATACGCATATGGGGCCACAAAATGCGACAGCGGGGCCACTGAGGGCAGCAAAGGGGCCACGAAGGGCAGCGAGAGGGCCACGGAGGGCGACAGCGGGGCTACGAAGGGCATGCGTATGGGGCCACGACGGGCGACTGCGAGCGGGGGCCAAGAAGGGCATATAATGCGGGGCCACAATGGGCAGCGACGGGGCCACTGAGGGCAGCAACGGGGCCACGAAGGGCAGCGAGCGAGGGCGACCGCGGAACCAGTACGGGCAGCAAGGGGCATCGAAGGCGGGCGAAGGGCAGCGAGCGGCGACTGCAGTCCGTAACGGGCTGGTCGGACGGGCAGGCCCAGACGGGCGGGTCGAGCGGGCGGGTCGTTGAAACGTTAGTTGTGCTTGAACCGCCAGGCAAGATGTAGCGGGAGCGCGATCCCTGAGTGTCGAGGAGCGGCATCTGAATAAATTCAAGAAGTATCAGGCGGGAGCATCCATTCGATGGTAAGTTGCGAGGAAATCCCAAGCGAAAGCGCGATTCTTCAGTAAATTGTAAGGAAGTATCAAGCGGGAGCCGCGATCCGGTGGTAAATTGCAAGGAAGTCCTGAGCGAGAGCGCGATTCTTCAATACATTGTGAGGAAGTATCAGGCGGGAGCCGCTGTTGTTGTAAACCGGGGACCAACGACACAATTTGTCCCTCAAGCCTTTCCCTGATAAAAAACCGGGTGCGAGCCCCAGGAAGGGCACTTCAATCGAAAAAACAATGTGCACCGGACGGGGGGTATCAACAATACTGACTCTTCAAAAGTGACAGCTCAACAAAAACAATAACAACAATAACAGTAACGACAACAACAACAACAATCATTTAAGACTGGGGACACTCCGTTCTCACCAGTGCCAGGGTTTTCATAGGAGGCGGGCAATACCCCCACTTTGTGGGGGGGCCGGTTCAAGCTCTACCAAGTTTCCAAACGACTCTTCGCCACCACCCACACCCAGCTTCCCGCCCTATGACGTTCGGACACTTCACTTCGTGGCCTGCGGACGACCTTGGCTACTACACTGGCGCATGGGTACAGTGACTTGTTGTGGTAACATTTTGTGGAAGCTAGCTTAGTATACGACTTTTCCCCCTGTTCCAACACTGGACACCTGTACCGTTTTCCGACGTTTTTCCGTTTTTTCCCGACGTCGTACAGATGTTTTTCGAGAACCTACGGTGCGATTCGTATGATTTTATGTTGCGCGGTGCTAAAATTCCTAAGAAACCCAATGATTTTTGAAGATTTCGGCGTGCGCGCGCGAAGAAAAAACGAATGTGTCCCACATGGTATTATTTGACAGGGATGATGGCCCTGGCAGGCGCGCAACCTTTGTTGCAGAAGTTCGAAGCACGTGAAAAAGTTGCTCGCAAGAGCCCGTTTGACAGAAATGTTGAAAAAGTATTGGGTTTCCTAAGAAATCCGCAAGAGCGCGCGGGGTGAATGTTTGAAGCCCTTTTTTGGAAAAACCATTGGGTTTTTCATGTTTTTATGTGAAAATCGCTACGAAGACTAAGGTTTTGGAAGGATTTCGTCTTGCGCGCGCGAATGTGCACTTCGTGTCATTTTCTGCAAGGGATTCTTGAAGTTTGGTCATGTTAGAACAAGAAATGTCCACTTTGCCTTATTTTTTTTGCAAGGGAAAACCGAGCGTAACAACACAACCGGATCTGGTATACCCCGTTTTGCCTGAGACTTCCTCACGAAAATGATGAAAATGTGGCTGCGGCCTAGGCGCGGCGGGGGGGGCGCGCACCAGGGGCCCCAACAATAATTATTCTTTAGAATTAATAATGTTCAACAACAACAACACCAACACCAACACCAACACCAACACCAACACCAACACCAACACCAACACCAACACCAACACCAACACCAACGATAAATTTAAGACTGTTCGCCCTCATCTGCTCGAGTGTTCAATAACGAACTATTTCCCAAACCCTCGATACCCGCCCTCTTCGTCTCCGATCGAACCCCTTTTTGGGGGTATACCTTTCTTCCCTGCAGGCCGGGCCCCGGCAAGCGGCGGGGCGGCCGCAGACCATCGGCCTGGCCAGCGGCAGCGCTGATCGGCGGGGCGGCCGCGGACCGTCGACCCAACCCCAAGAGGGACGGACAGGGGACCGACCACGACGACGACGACGACGACGACGTCGACGACGACGGCGACGACGACGGCGACGACGACGACGAGCGAAAGCGAGAGCGAGAGAGAACGACAGCAGGGCCACGAAGGACACGAGGTAGGCCACGAAGGGCGACAGCGGGGACACGAAGGGAATGCGTGTGGGGCCACGAAGAGCGCGGACGAGCGGGGGCCACGAAGGCACGACGGGCGCGAACGAGCGGGGGCCACGAATGGCATACATATATGGGGCCACGAAGGGCAGCGAGGGGGCCACGAAGGGCTGCAACGGGGCCACGAAGGGCAGCGAGGGGGCCACGAAGGGCTGCAACGGGGCCACGAAGGGCAGCGAGGGGGCCACGAAGGGCAGCGAGGGGCGAGGAGGCCACGAGGGGCTGTAACGGGGTCACGAAACAAAGCGAGGGGGCCACGACGGGCTGCAACGGGGCCACGAAACAAAGCGAGCGGGCCACGAAGGGCTGCAACGTGGCCACGAGGGGCAGCGAGATCCCGATTCCTAGGTAATCTGTGAGGAAGTCATAAGCGTGAGCGCGACTCCTGGGTGCCTGGGTGTCGGGAGCGCGGCGCTTGAGTAACTCGCAAGAAATTCCAACGCAAGGGCGCTATTCGTCAGCAAATTGCAAGCAAATCTCCAGCGAGAGCGCGACCCCAGAGCGTCAGGAGAGCGATTCCTGAATGAATTGTAAGGAAATCCAAAGCGAGAGCGCAATTCCTGAATAAAATGCGAGGAAGTCTCGGGTGGGAGCGTGGGTCCTGGCTAAATTGTGAGGACGTCTCAAACGGGAGCCGTTGTTGCTGTAACCCGGGGGCCAGGGGCGCAGTTTGAACATCACTTTGAGGGGCACACTTTTGATTGAGAAAAACAGTATGCACCGGTGAGGATGATTCTTCAGAAATGAAAAATTCAACATTAATAACAACAACCACCACCACCACCACAACAGCGCAACAAGCATAATCCTCACCACATATTCTCACTTCAGCCACGCACCCAGGGACAATGAATGACCGTTCTGCCCCCTCACTCTGATATACACCCAATCGCATCGTGACTGGAGCTTCCGCTCACTCGATCCATCCCCCCCTCTCCCTCCGTTCTCTCTCCCTCTCCCTCTCCCTTTCCCCCTCCCTCCTGCCCCTCCGCCCCGCCCCCATCACCCCTCCACCCTCCTACCCCATGATCCAACACCTATTTCCCCATCCCTCCTGCCCTGAGACTGTCCAGAAGATCTCCCGCCCCTTCGGCGTGCTGTTCTACACCCAGGATTTCAAACATCTCCTTCCACTCCAATTTGTTTTCTGCTGTTCGTCTCGCCCCAACGCGGGCAACTTTTCAGAATCCGAGTCTTTCTTCGTCGTTGTCGACCCCCTCGAACCCCCTGCACCGCCTTCCCCTGATCGTCCCTTTCCTCCCGACCCGTCCGGTTGAATTCCTGCTGCTCCTGTCCGTCCTCATCCTTGTCCTCCCGCTCGTTCTCCTGCTCACCCACAACCTCCTCCTCCCCCCTGTGCACGCAGCTCCCCCTTTTAGCCGATTGCGCATCACGCGAAGTGGGCTTTCTGTGGGAGTCGCAGGCCGGCTATGACACGCGCCCGCGGGCCAAGACAAGACAGCGCCATGGGAAGGGACGGGAGGGAGGGATGGGATCCGAGGAGGCGCGAGCGCAGCTTGCTGTCTCCTTTCGCTCTCTCCCCCCTCCCTCGTGGCCCCCCTCCTCCTGCCTTCTCTCCCCCCCGCCTCCCTCCCCCACCTTCTCCCTCCCCCAGCCCCCGTCCTGGACGCCTCCCCGCCTCACCATCCCCCATTCGCCCCTCTCCCTCCTCTCCCCTCCGCTCCCCCCCCCCCTCGGCTTTGGTCGGGCATGTCCCCCTGCAGGCGGATTTTGGACGAAAAATAATTACCCTGTGACGTACCCAACCCTTTTTATACATATGGCAGTTATACTCAGGACCACTCAATGCTGAATGGCATTCTGAAGGACCCGCAGTGCGCAAGAAGAGCACCCAACAGTGATTTCAGAAGAGCGCAGCAAGAAGAGGAACGGCAACTATACAACATGGAAACACAGGGGCGTTGAACAAAAACGCGTATGACGTACCTCCGAATGATCCACGTGGGACGTACCTCCGATGGGCCTCCCAGGAGCCCACGAAAGCGGCGACAATTGCGCAGATCGCAAGCCCCCCAGGGGGCGGCGAGGTCCCGAGGTGATCCGCGTGGGACCCACCTCCGTTGGGCCTCCCAGGAGCCCACGAAAGCGGCTACAGTTGCATTGATCGCAAGCCCCCCAGGGGCGGCGAAGTCCCGAGGTGATTCGCATGAGACCCACCTCCGCTGGGCCTCCCAAGAGCCCACGAAAGTGGCGACAATTGCACAGATCGCAAGCCCCCGAGGTGATCCGCGTGGGACCCACCCCCGCTGGGCCTCCCAGGAGCCCACGAAAGTGGCGACAATTGCGCAGATCGCAAGCCCCCCAGGGGGCGGCGACGTCCCGAAGTGACCCGCGTTGGACCCACCTCCGATGGGCCTCCCAGGAGCCCACGAAAGTGGCGACAATTGCACAGATCGCAAGCCCCCCAGGGGGCGGCGAGGTCCCGAGGTGATCCGCGTGGGACCCACCTCTGCTGGGCCTCCCAGGAGCCCACGAAAGTGGCGACAGTAGCGCAGATCGCAAGCCCCCTAGGGGGCGGCGAGGTCCCGAGCTGATCCTCGTGGGACGTACATCCGCTGGGCCTCACAGGAGCCCACGAAAGTGGCGACAATTGCGCAGATCGCAAGCCCCCAAAGCACCGCGAGGTCTCGAGGTGATCCGCGTGGGACCCACCTCCGCTGGGCCTCCCAGGTGCCCACGAAAGTGGCGACAATTGCGCAGATCGCAGCCCCCAGGGCACCGCGAGGTCTCGAGGTAATCCGCGTGGGACCCACCCCCGCTGGGCTTCGCAGCCCCCAGGGCACCGCGAGGTCTCGAGGGAATCCGCGTGGGACCCACCTCCGCTGGGCCTCCCAGGAGCCCACGAAAGTGGCGACAGTTGCGCAGACCGCAACCCCCAGGGCACCGCGAGGTCTCGAGGTGATCCGCGTGGGACCCACCTCCGCTGGGCCTCCCAGGAGCCCACGAAAGCGGCGACAATTGCGCAGATCGCAACCCCCAAGGCACCGCGAGGTCTCGAGGTAATCCGCGTGGGACCCACCTCCGCTGGGCCTCCCAAGAGCCCACGAAAGTGGCGACAATTGCGCAGATCGCAGCTCCCAGGGCACCGCGAGGTCTCGAGGTGATCCGCGTGGGACCCACCTTCGCTGGGCCTCCCAGGAGCCCACGAAAGTGGCGACAGTTGCGCAGATCGCAACCCCCAGGGCACTTCGAGGTCTCGAGGTGATCCGCGTGGGACCCACCTCCGCTGGGCCTCCCAGGAGCCCACGAAAGTGGCGACAATTGCGCAGATCGCAGCCCCCAGGGCACCTCGAGGTCTCGAGGTGATCCGCGTGGGACCCACCTCCGCTGGGCCTCCCAGGAGCCCACCAAAGTGGCGATAGTTGCGCAGATCGCAGCCACCAGGGCTCCGCGAGGTCTCGAGGTGATCCGCAGCCCGACGGCACGAGAGAAGAGGAGAGGGGAACACAGGAAACAGGAGAGGAGGAGGGAGGAGGGGAGGAGGGGGAGGAGGAGGAGGAGGAGGACGGGGCGACCACACTGCTCTATTGAAAACGAGTACCCAACCATAGGAGGATTGGGAAACAACACTCCAATAATGCAAGAAAAAATACAAAAAATAGAAACATCGTCCCCACACTATCATTTTTTCTATTTTTGGATTCTCTTCCTGTAGAGGGACAGGCCCGACTGAACCCTTCGCCCCTCTCCCTCCTCTCCTGTTCCCCCCCCACCTCACTCCGCTTCCCCCCCCCTCGCCGGGTGCGCCGAAGAGGGACGCCGTGAAGAGGGGGTCGCAGCGCTCCGTGGCCCCAGGCACGCTCGCGGACGAGGGGGTGGCCAGGCAACGCCCCGAGAGGAGAGGGGGGCCACGAAGACCCCCTGGCCCTGGCCATGATGTCCACGCCCCCCCCTCACCCCCTCCAGGCAGGCCCCCGGCCCCGCCCCGCCTCGCCCACCCCCCGTCCCGGCGCCTCTCCGCGCTGGGGCGCCCTGAGCCGGAGGTAGACCTCGGGGCAGGCGTCAATGAGGGGGCGGGCGCCGAATCCGCTGCTGCTCCAGCTGCTACTGCTGCTGCTGCTGCTGCTGCTGCTGCTGCTGCTGCTGCTGCTGCTGCTGCTGGTGGTGTGTCCACCGTCTCCCCCATCCTGCTCGCGCGCGAGCAGCGAAGGACGTCTCTCCTGCAGCGCCCGCGCCGGGCGCCATTCGCGCAACATCTGAACGCGAGCCACGGGGACGAGGTCTTCCGCCTTGCGCAGTGTTGGGTTTCGGCCGAGGGAAGCTTCCCGCATCCTCCTCTATCCCCCACGTTTCCCTGTAAACAGCGTCTCCCCGTCGCGCAAGGGGACTGGGCGGTTCGCCTGGGACGTCCTTTCCGATTGTGAGACTGAGGCTTGGCGTTCCTGGGCAGTCACACCGGTGGAGGGCAGGTCGTTTGCGGAATGTGGCTCTCGCCCAGGCGACGCGCACATTTGCCCTGAATGCCCCCGACGTTACAGACAGTGGGAAGGGGGTGTGCGCGGCTCTCGACTCAGCGACGTGCAAGCAAGACACTGGCAGCTGCACATGTGACGAGGTTTTGAACATGGCTCCCGCATTCACGCCGCGCGCACGGGCTTTGGCCATTCCAGCAGCCACAGGGATGGAGGGCGGCTCGTGTTCAGAGCGGGATCTCGCTTCTCATACATGATGGCCGGAAGTGCGAAACTACGCAGCAAGAGCTGCACGGACGGAGGACGGCCCATTTACTCAAAGGGGTTCTCGCTTGAAGCTGCCGAGTAAGGCGTGAACACAATTTACAGCAATGCCACAATCTTACGGATCGAGGGAGGCCTCTTTTCAAAACATGGCTCTCGCTCAACTTTTCCTTGTGGTTCTTCCCTCCTCCTCATCCTCCTACTCATCCTCCTCCTCATCCTCCTCCTCATCCTCCTCCAACCTCTTCTCTCCTGCCTGTCCTCCTCATCCTCCCCCTCCTCCACCCCCCGATCCACATCCCGCCTCCTCTCCCTTCTCATCCCGTCTCCTCCCTCCTACTTCTTCTCATGTTTTTCTCTCTCCCTCCCTCTCCTCCCTCCTCCTCCTCCTCCTCCTCCTCCTCCTCCTCCTCCTCCTCCTCCTCCTCCTACGCCCCCTTCCCTTTCCTCCTCCTCCTCCTCCTCCTCCTCCTCCTTTTCTTCATCCTTATCCTCCTCCTCCTCCTCCTCCTCCTCCTCCTCCTTCTCCGCCAGCTCCTCTCCCCTACTCTATCCCTACCCTCTACTGTTCCCGTTTTTTCCTCCTCCTCCTCCTCCCTCCTCTCCTCCTCCTCCTCCTCCTCCTCCTCCTCCTCCTCCTCCTCCTCCTCCCTCTCTCCTCCTCCTACCTCCTCCTCCTCCTCCTCCTCCTCCTCCTCCTCCTCCTCCTCCTCCTCCTCCTATTCCTCCTCCTCCTCCTCCCCCTCCTCCTCCTCCTCCTCCTCCTCCTCCTCCTCCTCCTCCTCCTCCTCCTCCCCCTTTTCACCGCCTGCACCCCTCTCTCCTCTTCCCTTCCCCCCTGGACGCGCGCGCCACCCCGAGCCGCTGTCTTTCGGCCCCCCTGGGCCCCAAAAAAGGCCCCAGGGAGAGCGCAAGGCGGCGAGCCACCTCCGGGCCCGCTTCCCTAGGGGCCCGCTCTGGCCTCCTCGCAGCCCTCGACCTCTCCTCCTCCTCGGAGGAGGCCTAGGAGGGAGGAGGGAGGAGGGGAGGGGGCAGGAGGGAGGAGGCCTGAGGAGGGAGGAGGGGAGGTCGATGAGGATCCGAGGCTGGAGGGGGCAGGAGGGGGAGGCTCCGAGCCTCCTCCAGCCTCTCATATCCTCCCCTGCCCCGCTGGCCCCTTCCCGCTCCCAGCCGGCCGGCCCCCCCCCCTCCACCCCCCCATTCCCGCTCCCCTTCCCACCACTCCCCTCGACCTCCTGACGCTACCCTTCCCTCCCGCAGGGCGCGCAGCCCTGCTGCGCTGACCCGTGGGCCCTCGGGCGCAGTGCGCTCGCGACCGGGGTGCTTCCGCGGCTCGTGGGCCAACCCCGCCATACTTGCCTGGCGGAATCACAGCCCCCCGCGGGAGGAGGCGCCGCCCCCGGGCGACCCACGCGAGGTTGCAGGCCCGCCGTGGCGTCAGGACGCCGAAGCTGGCGCGCCTCGGGGGCAGCGGCGGAGCCGAGGGCCAGATGGGAGGGGAGGGGAGGGGAGGGGGGGGGAGGAGGCAACTGTTGGGCGGCCTTCCTAGAAACGATGAACGGCGAATGAGCTCGATTGCACGGCCAGAGGGCTGGATCAGCCCAGAGTAGGGCGGCTACACCGAATGAGGCCAGAGCGCATGGGATTAAGCAGAATGGGCTACACGGCGTGACGCCGGTTTCTCGCCACGGATTTGCCAACGCCGATGCTGGATTATCCCTCTCAGGAGCTGCATCCTGAGGGAATGAGACCCATGCCCCTTCGCGTCGCGATAAAAACACGGCTGGAAGTGTTTGGCGAGATTCGGCTCCTGGGGCCCTGGGGCCGTCAACAGGTCCCGGCGAACAGGCCTAAACACCGAGGCTAGCAAAAACGACGCCGGGGCTATCGGGGAAGGCCGTCGCCGAAGGCGACGGGGAGCCACACTGTCCAAGACCGCCCTACGACGGCCGAAGAGAGCCCCAAGGTGGCGCGAGAGAGCCTCAGACGGCCCTTGAGGAGGCCAAGAGGTCCAACACGAGCCCAAAGACAGCCTCAAAAGGGCCCCAGGCGGCCCCTCCCCAGCATTCCCCCCGCGGTCCCCCCGCGGTTTCCAGACAGCTCGGGTGCGGCGCGGTCCACTAGCACTACCGTGCTCACGCCTGACACTCAACCAGACGCTTCCAGAAGGCAGGGGGCGGCGACAATCCCACCAGCCCTCTGGGCGCAGGTGGTCTAGGGCGTTTCCTCTTCCCCCTTTCCTTCTTCCCCTTCGGGGGAGGTTCGGGGAGGGGTTCATCACTGCTCCCTTAATCACCACCTCTCCCGGGCGACTGGCAAGCAACCAAGACCGCCCCCCCCCACCATCCCTGACAAGAAATCAATAGAACATACATTACAGCATAGAAATTTCCCAATCAATGGAAGGTTTTCGCTGAGGAGATCGACCGGGAAGCCGGGAGCCCGGGAGCCCAGAACCCACCGAAATCGGCCCAGAACCAATAACCAGGAACCCGGGAACCCGGAACTGTGAACCCCGTAACCCAGCCTGCTACCAAAATCGGCGGGAAACTTTCGCCAAATCTTCCAACTTCCGCCAGGACCCCAATCAGTGCAAGCACTGATTGGGGAATATGGCACACACTTTGCCTATTATTCTGGAACGTGCGCGGGCGCCCCGCGTTCCCTTTGCACTTGTTCCCAGCCCTCCCATCGTGTGTTCTCGTCTTGCACTAGATCACCGTGGTCCCCGCTGCCTCTCCCGCCCCACTTCCTCTTCCCCCCCTTCCTTCTCATGCCGTCTGCCTTCCCCTCCTGCGCTGCTCCCTTGGAGGCTGCGAACTGCGCAGCGGTCACCAACTTCGTGGGCTCCTGGGAGGTCCAGCGGAGGCGGGGGCCACGCGGATCCAAACTGGACTCGGCTCCCTCGGGGGCTGCGAACTGCGAGACTGTCGCCACTCTTACGCGCTCCTGAGAGGTCCAGCGGAATGGTGTCATGCGCACGCCCAGACTAGACCTCGCGGCTTCCCAGGGAACTGCGAACTGTGAAACGGTCGCCATGTTGATGGGCTCCCGTGGGGTCCAACAGAGTGGCGCCTTGCTCACACCAAGACCGAATCTCGCGGCTCCCTGGGCGGCTGCGAACTGTGCAACCGTCACCACGTTCGTGGGCTCTGGCGCGGTTGGAGCACGTGGCACAGTTGGCGCACGTAGAGCATGTGCCGCACCTGGCACGCATGGGCCTCCAAGATGCCTAGTGCACCTGGAACTCGTGGCGCACATGACATGTGTGGCGTTCCTGGGCGATCTGCTGACACTCGGAGGGCGGGTGGTATACGGCCTGCTTTTTCGGAGGGTAGCTTTCTCGCTTCTCCATATTGATGAACACCCCCTCCCCCAGGCGACCAGCAGCCAACCAGTGAGACCCCCCCACCACCCCTGTCAAAATACAATGTGAAATCCACTTTGGAGCAACATGATAGGTCATGATCGGTGTGCATGTTGTATGGTTTTTGATAGGCGCGACGGGGGTGTCACCACATTGCCTGCTGCGCGCAGGGCCAGCATCCCTATCAACAAAACCATATAACATGCACTTCGAGGCAAAATCTGGATCATGCGCGGGCACCCCGCGATCACTGTGCTTTGGTTTTTGATTGAGACAGAAGGGATGCTGGCATATTGCCTGCTGTGTGCGGGCCAACGAGACGCTATGACGGCCACCCCGCCGCGATTGCGCACTGGTTTTCGACAAGGGTGGGGTGGTGGGGGCCGACACGTTTCCCGATGGGTACTGCCACGTGCGTAGGCGCACCTGGCACGCTCTGCGCGTGCCCCGAACATTGCGCACCTGGCGCGGCTGGAGCATGCGGCACACATGTAGGGTGTCACATGTGAACCCTACCCCTACCCCCCACGATTTCCGAGGGGGAGGGTGGGGTTCACTTCGTTCGGGAGCTCCCGAGCGAAGTGAACCCCACCCTCCCCTCAAACATCGTGGGGGGTAGGGGTAGGGTTCACATGTGGCCCCCTAACACGGCGCACGTGGATCACGCGGCGCATCTGGCGCACCAGGCGTGCCCGGCACGCTTGGGTCACAGGAGTGCCTGGCGCACCTGGCGCGCGTGGCGCGCATAGCGCACCTCTCCCAGGCGTTGTGCACGTGGGCTCCGTTTTGGTTCCAACTAGCTGTCCATCCAAGGACTACCGCTGAACACGCTGCGGCTCGGATGCTACTCATGTGTTGGGAGGGCGGGTGGGAGTGAGCGAGACGGCTTGCGGGCGGGGAGGGTGTCTAGAACCTTCCACCGACCCCCTCCCCATGGACCTGGACGGGCCCCCTCGCGGGTAGTTGGAGCGGAGCGTCCCTGATGGCCCAAGATGGCTCAAGACGTGCTCCAAGAGGCCCCAAGACCGCCCCAAGACGGCTCCAAGTGGCCACAGAGCCTCCCAAGGAAGCCGCCAAGGGGCCGAAGTCAGTCAAAAACCTGGAGACAATATGTGTTGTGTGCCTCATCACTTTTTCGCGTTCCGTGGCCCTCCGAGGCCTCCAGATGGCTCCAAGACTGCCACAGAGAGCCTCAAGAGCCGCCCAAGAGGGCCCCAAGACAGCCCAATGAGCGCGCAAGAGCACTGCGAGAGAGCTCCGAGAGGGTCCGAGAGGCGATCTTACAGGTACTGTAGGGTCAGCACGAATCACAGCTGTTTATTATTTGATCGCTGTCCTCTAAGATAGTCCCAAAAGGGCATCCAAGGCAATCAGGAGGACCCCAAAGATGGTCCAAAGAGGCGCCCAAGAGGCCCGAACTGGCACACAAGAAACCCCAAAGACGCCGCCCACAAAACTCGCAAGCGGCCCCCAAGAGACCCCAAGAGATCTCCGAGAGGCGGATGTATCCACGGTTTTGGTTAGGCAATTGTCTTCTTTCCTTGTTTCACTAGATTCACCTACACTTCCCTGATCAAGGCAACTCGCCTGGGCGTCGATTCTGGATGGGCTGGTGGGGAGACGCGAAGCGTCAAGAATTCGCCGGAGACAGCTTCGATACTGCGACCGCGTGCGCGTGCGCCCACGCCCCCCATCCGTCCTTCCCTGGAGCAAACACTCGGCATACTCCCTTCTCACATCGTGCGTCGTTGTTCCACCGGTGCTGCCTTATTTGTGGTGGACAACCCCAGCCTCTCAAACGAGCAGAACTTCCACATCTCTGCTTCGCTACCGTCATGCGTACTACAACCACTCTGATTTTGGCTCCCAGCTAGGGGGACGAGCCAGCCAGCAAAAGGCAAACCTCCTCAGAACTTGGCTGGGCTTCCGACAAGACCTCCTGCCTTCAAAGAGGCCGCCTGCGGATTTGGAGAAGGCTTGGGAAGGTTCTGAGAGGGCTGGAGGCTTTCTGAGCCTTCTTAGAATGATGGGCCTGTCTTCCACCACCACCACCATCAGTTGGAGGGGGAGGGGGACCTCCTCTTCCTCCTCCTTCTCCTCCTCCTTCTCCTCCTCCTCCTCCTCCTTCCCCCATCCAACTTCTGGTGGTGGTGGAAAACAGGCCCATCATAGAAAGCTCGCCCCCTCTGCCTTCCCCTCACGGGCGCGCCGCGGAACCGCACGTCACCCCTTGCTGCCATACACGTCCTCGCCAACCCCTCGCAGGGCAGTGCAACGCGGCGGGCGTCCGCTGGAAAGGTGAACGTCCTGTGGAATTGCTTCGCAAACACACATGTGCGACGTACCCAATCGATATGCAACAATTCTCTCCAAATATGGGCCAATTTGCTGCGGAAGATGGCATGACTAGAGCAGCGATTTGCTGTAAGCTAAATAAGAGGCGCACACGTCGCACGATTCAAAAGACAAGATGTTCTATCGAGGCATTACCATAAATTACAATGGGCCCCCAAGCTGTGCTATGAAAAAGGAGACAGAAAGACAAGAATCGCCACGCAACGAACGAACGTCGTGACAGTTTCGCAGTCCGCAGGCCCAAGGCGGTGTCGACGTCCTACATGAGCCCGCGTGGTGTATCTAATCCGCTGAACCCCCCCGCCCCTCATGGAAGTGGCGACAGTTTCGCATTCCGCAGCCCCCAGGGAACGGCGAGGTCTAACCTGAGTTCCGGTGGTCTACCCGCAGCTCGCGAAACTGGGGGCGCTTTCGCAGCTCGAAGCCTCAAGGGTGGCGACAGCTGCGCAGGAGGCAGGCGGACGAATGAGGAGGGACGCGGGAAGAAGGAGGATGACGAGCGGAGACCGCTGTGCCATCTTCGGGGCGAGTGCCCAACACGTGAGGGTGGGAGAAACATTGCATGTGCTTTGAGATGCGCATCAACGATGAGATCCAGATCCGATCAGGAAGTGCTTGAAGGATCCCTGGGACACACACACACACACACAAATTCATAGACACAAGTAATAGGATTCCCCCTATCCTCCAAGATCTTCTGGGTTTTTGCCTTCCCCCCCCTTCCCATATTTTCCCATCTGTTCTGGGGGGTCGACGATACATTGTGCCCGTGTGTCTGTTGCTCCCCCCCCGAGAGTCGCAGGGACGCAGAGAGGCCGGGAGGGCGCCGCCCTCCGTCCGTGCACGCCGCAGCCGGCCGAGGAGGTCGGAGAGGACCGCGAGCCGCGCCGGGGTGGGAGCACGGTCCCCTCCTCCTCCTCCTCCTCCTCCTCCTCCTCCTCCTACTCCTCCTTCTCCTCCTCCTCCTCCCCTTGCCTCCTCCTTCTCCTCCTCCTCTTCTTTCTCCTCCTTCCCCTCCTCCTCCTCCTCCTCTTCCTCCTCCTCTTCCCCCTCCTCCTCCTCCTCCTCCTCCTCCTCCTCCTCCTCCTCCTCCTCCTCCGGGGTGGGAGCACGATCCCCGAGCAGCACGTGGGGCGCACATGGGACATGCCGACACGGCATGTCCGCCTCGGAGGCGCGCGTCCGACCCGAACACCTGGTAGACCCATCTTGTAGTAGATCGTTTCTCGAGCGGTGTGGCCAGAAAGCGCCCGCCACGACGCATATACTATACGATTTCTCGGTGCGCGCGTCGCCCCTGGGGGGGCGACGAACACATGATATAAGTATGTTGGGGGGACGCCGAACAGTTGCCGTGCTGCCACAATGAGCGCTGAGTCTAAAACACGAAAAACAGTTTCTGGCCAAGCCGAGGCTCGACCACGAATACGGTCAACCCGTGTAGTAAGGATGCGCGATAAGGATGCAATGGCCCTGGGCGCCCACTTTCGTTGGCCTTTTGACCGGGGCACGGCCAACGAAAGTGGCCAAGGATGGGCCGAGGAGGCAAGGATGCAAGGGTACCCTTGGGAAGGTTGCCCATCCTTATTATGCGGGTTGACTGTAGCCTCCACGACCTGGAACCAGAGCCCCGCTGGAGCCCAAGGCGATCCTGCTTTCATCAGCGTCTTGACAGCACGGGTCTCAACAACCTGCGCAGCTGCTAGAGATGTTGGTTGCTCTCACTGTCCCTGCGGGTTGGCTCTGGCCGTCTCTGGCACTGGGCACCACGCACATGGGGTTCCACATACACACAAACACAAACACACACCGGGTTCCAAAAGCAGGGCGCTCCACACCCGCAAACATGTGGGGATCGACGCGGAGTTGGATACAACAAGAGGGTCCACACGTATGGAGTTCCACACGCATGGGGTTTCTCTCTCTCTCTCTCTCTCTCTCACACACGTACGCATGGAGTGCACACATGGTGCTTGACACAAATGGTTTTCAACGCGCTTGGGTTTCGCTCTCGGGGTCCACGCGACAAAGTAGTCTCAAACGTTCCGGTTGCCAGGGGTTCTCAAGCCAACCTGGAGGTGGTGCGACGAGCAGAAATTTCTGACCAGAGAGGAGGGGTGAAGTAGGAGAAAAAGCTGTATTGCAGCTCCCTGTTCATACTGGCCGCTGCAGCGCAGGACTGCCACAACGAGGAGGACAGCCTACGCCAAGCCCAATGCGCGCAAGGCCCGCTGCCGCATCTGCGCCTCCAAGCTCAGTCCCGAGGCGTCGGCGGCCTTCGGTGGGGGCGCGGCTGGCGGCTCTGCGCTACGCGCCTGCTTGCCCACAGCCATGGCCGCATCCAGAGCGGTGTGCGCCTGCTTCTTGCTCCTGAGCTCCTGCATCCTGCGCTTGAGGTCGGCGATCTTCTCCGCCCCAAGCGCGACCTCGACCTTCGGCTTCGAGCCTGCGGGCGCCTCTGGCGCAGGGCCCCCCGGGCGCACCTCGGCCGGCTCGCCGGCACCTGCCGCCGCCGCCGCCGTGGCCCCAGGCTGCGGGGCCTCCGCGGCGGCCAGGGCTTCTCCGCCTGCGGCGGCCTCCGTCGCCTCCTCGGCTGGCGCCGCCTCGTCGCCGGAGGCGCCCGCGGCTGCCATCGCCCTCTTCAGCTCCCGCGCGGCCTTCCGCGCGGCCTTCGCGGCCCTCCGCACCACCTTGGGCGTGCGCGCGCGCGGCGCGGCCGGCGGCCCTGGCGGCCCCTCCTGCGGCGGCGGCGGCGCGGCTCCGGCGGGGCTCTGGGAGAGGCCGGGCGAGGCGGCTTGCCTCTCGGGTCTCAGCGGCGCCGCCTTGGCCCGCGTGCCGGGGAGGCTGGAGGCCTCTGGTCTTCTCTCCGGGGAGTTCTCCTCGTTCGCCCCGCTGGGCTCGGCGGCCGCCTTCGGCGGCTTGCTCTTCCTCTTCCGCCTCGGCTTCCGCTCCACTTCCGCCTGCGCCGGCGGCCCCGTGGCGGCGGCGCCCCTGTGCGCCTCGCCGCTGCCGGCCGTCATCAGCGGCGGGGGCGTGACGGAGGCCGCCCGCCGGGGCGTCCGGGAGCGCGGCCTCGACGCGCCGCGGCTGGCGCTGGGCGCCTCGGCGCCCGCGCCAAGCGGGCCGTGGCCGTCGGCGCTGCGCGCGGGGGAGGCGCCGCCGCCTCGCCGCCGGGCGGGCTGCTCCGGCTCCTGGCGCCGGGCGGGTGCGCCCTCATCCGCGGGCGGCCCCCACACATCTACCTGCAGCGGCCGGGCCCGCTCGCCCCGCTCGCTCAGCGTCGGCAGGTACTTGTCGCACAGCGCCTTGTAGAGGGCGGCCTCGCTCTCGGCGTACTTCTCGCAGATGCGGTCCAGGCCTTCCAGCTTCTCGGGGTTGAAGCGCTCGTACATCATCTTCAGCAGGGGCCGCCAGGCCGCCCCCGAGACGTATCGCCGCACCACCTTGTCGTAGATATCGGGCTCCTGGCCCGCGTACTTGTCCATCAGCCGCGGCACGTCGACGACCTTCTCTGGGTTCCACCGCAGGTACACCGCCTCGATCAGCCGCCTGTACGTGGCGCGCAGGTGGGCGGCCTTCTCCGGCCGCGGCCGCGAGGGTGAGGAGTGCCGCCGCTTCGGCATGGCGCCGCGCGTTCGAGCCGAAATGGCTGCGGAGGGGGGAGGACGCCTGTCGCGCGGCCCAGGCCCCCCTGCGCGTTCGAGCCGAAATGGCTGCACAGGGGGAGGAGCAGCAGCAGCAGTCAGCCAGCAGTACGAGGTCTGTCGGACATGGCATTCGCGCAACCGCTGGACCTCGTCATGAGCGGCTATCCCCCCGAGAGCTTCCGGGAGAAGCTTTTCTTCCGCCCGTTGCCCCTCGGAATGAATATAGGCGCCCAGCCGCGAGCAGACCAGAGGCACCCGGCCCAGCCCTGGCCAGACCAGAACTGCAGACAGAGGGAGAGTGAGATAGAGAGGGTGAGGACGACAAGAACAAGGAGGGAAAGAGGAAAAGGAGAGATAGAGAGGGGGAGGACGACAAGGACAAGGAGGGAAAGAGAGAGAGAGAGAGAGAGAGATAGAGAGGGGGAGGACGACGAGGACAAGGGGGAAGGTACCCCGCACCTGCGGTGCTGAAGATTTAGTGGTTATATGGCGGCTGTGACAGTTGCCCTGCGACTCCGAACCATTATCGAACTGTGCTGCCGACTTGCATTCGTTTGCCGCCGCAGCCAGCTTCACCACCCAGCCGTGGCCGACACGTCGAACAGAATGGAACAGAGACAGGGACAGAGGGACGGGAAGTCCGGCGAGGGACGGGGAGTCTCGGGCGGGGGGAGGGCAGCAGCCGCCGCCAGCACGCCATGGACTCCTCTATTCCCTCCCTCTTCTCCTGCCCCCTTCCTGCTATGGCTTCCCACGACCCCGTCCCGCTCCCCCCCCCTCCGGCTCCCCCCCAGCCGCTCAAGCGAGAGTCATGGATGCACTGCTCCGCCACCCCTCCGGCGGCCAAGGCCGCTTGGGGGAGGGAAAGGCAGCGCTGTTGATCGACCCTGGTGCCCGCAGCAGTGCAGCAGTGCAGGAGTGGAGGACAGGGAGGAGAGGGACAGGACATGACAGGACGTGCATCGGGCCGACTGTCGAAGCTGGCTTGACGGACAACACATTCGAGTGCACTCAGTGTGTACGACCTGCAATGCACGCATACGGCTGGCACGTGGATGCCCCCCCCCCCCCCCGAGGGAGCCCCGAATTGACTTCGCGAGTTTACAAGAAAGGCTTAGCTTGGAAAGATGTTCTGAATCTGCTGAGCTCTGGTTACGTAGATTTGCTTGGCTACGATGTGGCTGCAAAACCGCCAACTTCTCTGCGATAGTTACACTACGGCATAGGACTTAGGGGGAGGAGGAGGAGGGACATTATTCACTGAGCTTCTCGCTGGCGCTTTCTTTATCATTATTGTTTGTTTTTCTCTCTCTCGCTCTCTCTCTCTCTCTCTCTTTTGTTTTCTCTCTCTCTCTCTCTCGGCACACGGTGGGCGCGGCCGCCGTCGAAGAAGCTGAAGACCCCGTAGCAATGGGCGCCATCTGCGACACAGCACGGCTCTCCTTCAGAAACAGTTGCATCAAGCACGAAACCACTTACGGCCGAGCCAGGGACCTGCATAAACACAGCGCCGTTCCCATCAACGGCGCTAGCATCAAACACGGAACCACTCCCGGCGGGGCCAGACACCAGCATCGACTCCACACCGCTTCTCCCTAATGCTCGTCGAAAGAGTCCATCGACATCTGCAACGGCCTCTCCTGATGACCCCTCGGCGCCATCCCTGGCTTGATGATGCCCCCCCAGCTGCTCGGCGCAGGCTAAAAACGAGCGCTCGAGCTTCTCGCCGCTGAAACTCATGCCGATCATCGGCGAGTCCCCTTTGTAGTTCGCCAAGAACGTCAAGTCCTCGATCGCGGCGCCCTCGTACTTCCCCACCAGGTCGTGCCATGCCTGCTGGTTCTTGCCGCCTACATTGTCGCCCGTGACCGTGGCCGCCCTCGCCGCTGCGAGGAACGCCTGGACATAACCGGGCCGCTGACGATCTCTGGCGCCTCGTTGGCGCCTGCATTCTACCTGCGAGAGCCGCGCAACTTCTGGGCCTCCATCTAGCGCGCATTGCCCGCCGCGAAGCCCGCGGCAGCAAGCGGGATCTCGTAGTCCAGCAGTAGCGCGCGCGTCGTCGCGGCGAGCATTTGTCGGGCGTCGAAGCTGTTCCCAAGTGCAACCCGAGCGAGAACGGGCACGAGCCGCGACGCCATCTGCATGTCCATCCGCGGCAGCTTGCCCAGCTTCGCGGGGGGCAGGCGGTAACTGCGCACCGCGTGCTCCTCGCCGTCGCGACGCCGAGTCTGACGCGGCTGCTCGGGCGCACCATCGCGCGGCATCGCCCGACGCGGCCGACCCCGGTGGGGATCTGCGCGGCGGGCTCCGCGGTCGCCGCGCGGCGGGGCGGCGCTGCGGGCGCCATCGCGGCGGCGCGACCGTGCAAGTGGCGCCCCGCGGCCGGCGCTCGCGGAGCCACCTCGGCCACCTCTCAGCCTCGCCCTCCGACTGGCGGACCTGGGGCGGCCCGCGGCCAGGAGCGCCGTCTCGCCCAGGCGAGGGCCCATAGCTCGCGGGCGGCGGCGCTGGCCGCGGCGCGGGCATGGCGGCGCGGGCTGCCAGCGGGCGCGGCCGCTGAGCGGCTAGATCCTCAAACGGCTCGGCGACGGCACAGCGGGAACGCGCGCTTCCAACTCCGCGCGGCGGCGCTCAAGGGCACATCAGATAGGCTGGCTCCACAACAGCGCGATGGAAGGGAGATCGCTCCGCAAAACACCCGAGCAGTGACGGCGCGCTCCTGGGCTACCTTGCGAATGCGCAGGACACTCTTGCAACGCGCGCGCTGGTTGGTGGCGGCGGCAGACTGCAATTGCGAACGAATGTCGTGGCCACCGTTTTGTGAAACCTCTCATGCGCGAGCGGAGATCGTCGAGCAGCGAAGAAGACGCTGCCGCGCGCCACTACCTCAGAGTCGCTACTTTCGCATCTCGACTCGCCCCAGGGTGGCGGAGGAACCTCAGCGGCTTCGGGCGCTCGCCGGCCAGGCGGCGGAATGGCCGCCGCACGGGCCCGGTGCGCGGCAGACCAAGGCCTGCGGCATAGTGCAGCCCCCGCACGTCGTCGTCGCAAAACAGCCGCACCACGTTGACCGCACCTTCGTTCGCGTGCAGATCCCCTTCGGCCCCCTCGCCTCGCCCGCGACTAGCGGCGCCCCGACATCAGCGACAAATCGCCGACCATGTGGATTGGCCTACATCTGCACTGCATGCTCCGCTAGGCCGAATCGCCGGCTCGACCTCGAATGGGAATTGACTAATACTGGGAATTAACGGTGATGCTGTGCTCGAAGCCATCGTCGACGCTGCCGAAGTCCTCGCACTCGAAACTCCCCGCCAGAAGCGGCCATGCCGAGTCGCCGCGTCGCTGCGGCGTCAGACGCGGCCCTGCAGCGAAGGTGGGGCTTGCCGTCTACACTGAGCGCGGGCTGGCTGGCCGTCGCGGCCGAGGATTGCAATCTTCTGATATGCGCCGCCCGAGAATGCAGCCTGCGACCCAGCGCCGCCTCCTCCTGCACCGACGTGCCGAAGGCAATCCGCGAGAGTCGCCGCGCCCTGTTGCGCGCCCCACGACGTGGCGGCATAGCAGCCTCGACGAGCTGCCTGCAGTCGGCGCCGGAGCTCGATCTGCGCCCCCCCCCCCCCGCGATGGGCGCCTGGATGCCGGGCGCGACGTTGCCGCGCTGCGCGGCGCCGACAATCGGGGCAGAAAGGATGCGCCTCGCGTCGGGGCCCAGCTCCCAGGGGGCGGGGGGGCGCGGAGTGCTGGCTGGGATGGCGAGCATTGCCGCGAGGGCGAAGCGCGCGTCAGAGCTCGCAGCGGGCGCGCCTTAATTAATGCAAGGCCAGCACTGCGAGCCGAGATGGCGATGCCGACGCGGTTCGCGTTGTCTGCGTAGGCGCGCGTGCCAAGATCCACTAGCTTCTCGAGCAGAGGAGGCCGGGCCGCGCAAGAAGCCTCGCCGGGCCAGATGGCGGCCGCGATGCCCGCCCTCTGCGTAGCAGGCAGTAGCGCCTGCGTCGACCACTCCACGCGGGTCGTCGGCCGAGGAGGAGGCGCAGCGGCGAGGCGGCGGCCCGTTGCTGGCGGAGCGCTTCGTCGATCGGTGCACGGGGCGTCCTCGCGCAAAATATAGCCGCCGGCGTGTCTTGCTGCACTCGAGCCGATGGCGGGTAAATGTCTGCCCCTCAGGCCCAGCGGCCTCCTCGACCGTTCTGCGCAGAGACGCGCAGTCAGAGGGGTCGAATTGCCCGCGTCCTCCTTGGCCGCGAAAGGTGGCGCGTCCAAGCGTCGAGGTCGCCGCGGCGGCCCTTCCCGGCACGTCGGCGCGCCCTCTCGATCTCGCCCGCGACGGCAGCCGCG